CTTCAACTGGTGTCTCCCAAATGAGCTGGACTTCAACTTCCATTACTCTCAGTCAGCATGGCTGTGAATTATGAGATTTAAATTTCAAAAATCCTAGAAGGCACCAGGTAGAGAAGATGTTTTAGACTTCATTGGTGGTACAATGAGTTTTACCACCTGCTTTATCCTTCATGTATTTTATGAGAAGTCAGGAGTCCTGGCTTCTGATTCACTTGCTATTATTCAGCTTTACGTTTTTTAAAACAAATAAGTCTTCATTTCCATTTCTTCTTAGACTGACACATCTGGATGAATTCCTAAACTCATCCTGTTCAGTTGTCTAGCCAAAGATACTACTTATCATAGATCATAGGCTAAAACATGCCATAATGAGAGGAAGATAATCTTATGGCACAGCACTGACTAAACATTTGTTGTACTAACATGCTGAGATTTTTTCCTCATCTCAACAAGACCCCACATTTACACTCGGACATATATATTCTAATGAAGAAGCAGCATTAACACAAATTCCTATACTCACTGAATGCTGTCAAGCCATGTGACAAACTCATATGCACTACTCGTTGGCGCATGGCACTGTACGTATGATTCAGGAGCACAGTCTACTGTATTGAACACCACCAGGCTGTACTGGGTACCACCATACTGCAGAATAGGTTGGAAAGTAGAGGCTGGTTAGACAGTGGCTTCTGAGGAGAGATATTTTCAACACTATGATTCACATGAACAAGAATATGGACTTCTGCCTAGCTTAAATTCTAATATTAAGGATTTTGGCTTCTTTTAGAGAATACATGCAATCTGTTGCTCTTTAGATGTGTGAGACTCAAATTCCTGCCACTCAGATTGGGTGCAGATACTTTGTCTTCATAAAAGCGAAAGTTGGTGGTTATGGTTGAAACAGAAAGTTAAAGCAATGATGGCATTACCAAATATGGCAAGACTACAGATTTGGCTGTTCATTGCTTTCATCTCCAAAAGGTGCATCAGAGTGTGCAGAAATGCAAATATAGCATCTGTTGGTAAGGTGTTACACATGGTTACTACGTTTGCACTCCCACATGCTTTGAAGCACTTTTTGGAGAATGAATTCACAGTTGCACAGGCCTACTGAATGCCAAAATGGCACTGGCTATTCTCAAGCCCTTGCTTCCCCCTATCTATTTTTCCAAGCAATGCATTTTCCTGTCTCATAGAACTGGAAGAGGCTATCTAGGCTTTCAGACCCAACCCTCTGCTTAGCAGACAGCATATTCCAAGAGGGGAGACCTCCCTATCTACTCAATGCTGTGTATTTACAACCTCAAAAGTAGTCACACACTCACATCTCCTCCAAAGTCTGTTTCAGCTGGAGGACCACCATTAAAATACCTGAAAATGAAAAGAAGAATCCCTTAGACAACAAAAGGAGAGAAGAGTTATCTTCAATAGATATGGCATCAGAAATTGAGTGAAAATAATAATATAAAATCATCATAATCATAATACGATAGCTTTAATACCATCAAACAACATCTGCCTATCCCAGGTCCTTGGGAAGGACTCGATAGGTGGATAAAAATGCCAAATCCAGTCTAAACATCTGACTGACTGTGCAACCAAAAATAATAATAATTTATTAAACTTGCATGCTGCCCAACTCTCAATGACTCTGGGCAGCTCACAACAAACAAAAAATTACAATAAAATCAATAAAACATAAAGATAAAAGATAGCAAGCATGATGAAGTGCATGGTCTCACTCTCCTTCACCAAAGGCCTGGGTGAAGATCCAGATCTTCACACCTCTTCTAAACAGCAGTGGGGGGGCCATCTGGATCTCAGGGGGAAGATTCAGATCTCTGTTCCAGAGGGCAGGCACTGCTACAGAGAAGGCACCCTTCTGGGGTCCTGAGAAATGACACTGCTTAATCTAAAGAACCTGGAGTGCACCACCCTGCAGGATCAAATCAGCTGGGCAGATGTTATAGGAGACAGGCAATCCCTCAAGTAACCAGGCTGTATACCATGCAGGGCTTTATAGGTAAAAACCAGCACTTGTTTGTTTGCTATTCTTGTTCAAGATACAGACAATAGAATCACTGAACTGCTTTTCATGACTGGTATTCTGGTTCAATTATTTACCATGTTTTATCACCTGCCAGTTTGGTAGAGCTAAGAATAAACTGCAAATACTCTCTTAGTGCTAACCTAAGACATTTTCTTACCTGAGGCAAATAAAGAGATATTATGCCTTCCTCAGTTTCTTCTATTTCTATTTCTCTATTCCTCTATTTCTTTCTCAATTTATCTTCTGTACGCCCTGAAATTCCACTATTTGGAATCTAGAAATGTATTCATTATGTACACTTGAAGTTATTTCTTCAACCAGGAAAAAAAAATTAGGCCCTGTATTTTACTCCTACCAACTTTTTTCCAACATGTTCCTACACAGAAATAGATCTCATATATTTTCAAATAAACTGTAATATTGTGCAAGACTAGAAATGTATGCTTTTTTCTCTTTTCAGAAGGTTCCACTTCTTTAATTATAGTGTTTACTCCATATTCAAAAGTAGAATGGCAGATATCAACAGATCTCTGAATTTGCAGTAGGTTGACAAAGCTTTTCTAGCAATACCATCAAAATAACCACACAGAGATGCAAATGGGTTGCTCAAAAAAATACTTAGGGGAGGAGTCTGGACTGAATTAAAGTTTCCCTTTATTAACAGACATGTGTTTAGTTCTGTTATTAATCACAAATTCTTGAACCGAGCACATAATTAGGGTATTCTGTTCCTTGATTTTTAGTATATACCCACTCTCCTAAGTCAGTATTTTTTGCTGCGCTCTGGTTGATGCACCTAATTGTTCTACTAAAAAGAAAGCAGATTTAGCAAGCCTGAAGACTACCTATCTCTGTTCTATAGCTATATACTTATTTATTATATAATTATAAAGTATATAATATACTATAATTATGAAACTCTCAGCAGTTTACTAATTACAAGCAACACAAATATTTAAATAAAATGTCCACAGTAGAAACTAAAATATATAAAATGTTAAAACCATAACATCATAAACATCATAAACATGATCAAACTAGATGTTGGATTTCAGCTGTTTAGAATTTTATGTATGCTTTCTTAGGAATAAGCTTTACCATTTTGATATATGACTGTAAATGTTTTCTGATAAGTTTTGACTGATTGGCTAGTCAAAATTTTACTGACATACATACATACATAATCTTAACTGTATGATTAGAATCCTTCTGTCAGTTATCCACCATGCCAGTCTGAAGCACACTGATATTTATTCCACCCACTACCTACTAGATCATCCATCAGAAGAGTTTCTATAAATTGTAAATACATATTGTTAGGCTTCTTAAAATCAGCATACAAGCTGCATGTACAAAGCACAATAGCAGCTAATCACATTTTTCTAGCATTGTTTTCTTCCTGTGTCCTCCACTGACAAAATCAAGGGAGGCAAATGACACCTTGAGATTGTGTGAACACTCACTCAATGGCAGGAAGGAGATAATGCTTGCGCAAAGACTCAAAGTAAGGTCCAAGATTGGCAGTGCCCTCAATAACGAACACAACATCAGCAACCATCCCCATGGGTTGAGCAGGCATGTCCAGCGTTGGTACCACCATCTCCTTCAGCTACCATAATGGGGTGAGAACATAGAAGAGTAGTGAGGCAAATATTAAAGACAAAAGCCGAAGTTGAAATAAATGACTTCTTAGTATTTATTCAGTATCACAGGAGGACTAAATGCTGTACAAAATACAGAACTAACATCATCTCTGGACAAGGGAGACTATTTACGTAAGACAAGCGAAAGAAAAAGAACAGTAGGAGACTGAGAAACGAGAAGTGCCATGGAAGCATATCTAAGGGAGATAGAGCTTATGGAAGAGACAAGGTGGAGTACAATGGGCATCACATCCCCTACTAGTTCAAAGTAAAGATTCCTGCAACCCAACGATGTGACTCTAAATGTTGCTCTACTATAACTCCCAGCAGAACTAGCTCACCTAGCCTAAGATGAGGGATGCTGGGAGTTACACTTTCACAGTATCTGGAGGATCTCATTCTCCATACCTAACATTATCTAATTTCCATAGCCAGGACCCCAACACATTGATCAGTTCCCATAATCCTCACTCATCATGTTCAAAACATATGGAGGGCTCTAGGCAAAGTTGATTTAGTCCCAACATTTAATTCCCACAGCAGCTAACAGATGCTTATAGGAAGCCCTCAAGAAAGGATAAAGGCAACAACTATCCCCCTTATTCTTCCACCCTACTGCTCCCACGAACAGTTCTTCTGTAAGGCACTAGCTAGTTGCCACACCTTTCAGTTGTTGGTAAGACCGCCCATAGATCTATCTCCTTTTTAAAAATCAATCGGATTATTAGCTGTCACCGATATCTTGTTACAATGAGTCCCGTAAATTAAGAAACTGAGGAACAAGTGTTATTTCTGGGACAGATGAGCCTTTATTTGCTCTGATTTTACTCTCAAATTTAATTTATTAAAACCAAAGCCATGAAAGAGGAAAAAGAGAGATGTTGTTTTGGCTTTGTTGAATGAGACGATGGAGCAGAAGCAGGAAGGTTATTTGTGGCTCGAACTCGGATCTTCTTTCACCCCCCTCCCTCCACCGCCTCAGTAAATGCCGCTCCCAAGCTTTGAATCCTCTCCCCCTCACATTTCCACTCCCCCCCATCCCCGTACCCGAAGCAGACATCCGGCTTCTGAAGTTCTCTTGTTTTCCAGCCACAGGAAATGCTTCCCTTCAGGTCCGCTAGTCGGGACGCACGCGCACATAAAAGAGTCACCAATTTACCTTTCATTCTCTCTCGATGGTTAAGAGTTCTTTTCACTCACCCCCTCCTTCCCCGGAAGGAGTGAACGAACCGCAGGCGCATGGGAGGGGGCAAAGAGGAAAAGAACCAATCATACAAGAGCGCTTGTTACCATGGCATCGGCTCTGCTTACATCCCGGCATGCCGTGGGTTATTCAACATGGCGACAACGACCTCTGCGGGTGGAGATGTAGTGGATATTAGGCAGAAGGAATAGACTTGGATTCGGTGGAGTTGCTCCTGCCGCCAGGCCAGTGTGGAAAAAGGTTTCCCGTCTCAAGATGTGGGAGGAGGCGGGGAATTCCGTGACCTTGTTGTGCCTTACGGCTAGTAGTGGAGTTCCCTTATACTGTAGGAGCCGGGGTGGGCCTACCAAGCAGCAGGTGAGAGGTTTCCGTCCTGCTTTCTGTTCCACCTGATAGCAGATCACTTTGTTCTGAGAAATGCTTTGTGGAGTCCTTGGTGCTCTTTGAGCTTGGTTGTTTGCTTGCAGACGTTTCATTACCCAACTAGGTAACATCGCCAGTGCTAGTGAGTGTGGGTTTTGCTCCTTTTTTATATACAGTAGCTTGCCCTGCCAGTGTTGGTGGGGTTGTGGTTTTCTCCTTGGTAGTTCCTTGATTAGGGCATTGTTTTCTGCTTGATTGTTGTTCTGACACCCTGCTTATTTGGGTGTTGGCTGCTGGAGAGGATGTGTTCTGGTCTTTTTGTTTCCTTTTTAGCTTTTTGTTGTCTCTTCTGAATGGTGTGTAAATATGGTTTATGGAGTCCTTGGGGTTCTCTGAGCTTGGTTGTTTTCTTGCAGATGTTACCAGTCTAGGTATCATCTTCAGTGCTAGGTTCAGCTTCAACTAGCACTGAAGATGTTACCTAGATGGGTAACAAAACATCTGCAAGAAAACAACCAAGCTCAGAGAACCCCAGGGACTCCACAGTTCAACCGTGAGCTACAGATATTCTCTTCTATTAATATGGTTTATTTCTATGTGTCTATTGATGGCTGAGGAAACAGTGGCAAATTAGAAAAAC